GCCCCTGGCTGCCCCCAGCCGCCGTCGACGGCGTTGCCGCATGGGTCGCGCTGCGTCACGGCCGCCAGGGAAGCATAATGCGCATCGCGCCTCTGGCCGCCGCCCGCGTGTATGAGTGCCTCCCGTGCCACCGGCCTCCGCCCGCCGGCCCACGCCCTACACCACCGCCGGTCGCAGCCCTGAGTTGAGCTGAGCTGAGCTCTCTAAGTCTCTCGCCGCCGGCCGGGGGAGCGCGCGTCGCGCCGCCTTGATCGAGCTGAGGAGCCTCGCCGGCGCGCGAGGAGAGCAGTTGCGCCACCGGTCGGAGCCCGCCTCGTCGTGCTCCCCCCAGCTACCGCCCGCCTCAATCTATACTGCGCGCGCCCACGCACTGCACCATGGCTGGCCGCGCGCCGCACTGAGCTGAGCTAAGCTCTCTGAGTGATCTCTCGCCGCCGGCCGTGGAGCTCACGTCGCGCCGCCTTGATCGAGCTCGAGCCCCGGCGCCGCAACAAGAGCAGTCAATGATGGATGAATTGAATGCTTGCACCGGCCAACTACTAATCACGTGCCAAAAATATTACAGACGCGCGTACAAAATAAGCGTCGGCCATAGATCACAGACGTGTGTAATGAAGGACGCGTCTGCTCTAATTACGATTATTGCAGACACGTTTTCATAACAGGCGTCTGGAACTCTAACACACGTCTGTGCTAATTGCGATACTACAGACGCGTCTAGACTAAGTACGTCTGTAAATAAACACGCGTCTGTGATAAGCGGACAAACTACAGCGACTTCCTGTGACACGCGTCTATGGTAAAATTTCAGACGTACCTTACAAAGACGCGTCTATAGGAACCCGTTATTACATAAACGTGTTAACCCCGCACCGGCGTCCTCGGTCGACAAGTTACTACAGACGCTTGTTTGCTAACACGCGTCTACAGTTCGTACGGGGTCTGTAGGTAGCGCTGGTGGATTTGACTGTTTTTTACATAGTGATCGTTTTCGGAACGGATAATCTCCGAGAGCGTGGAGTTGCCGGCCAGTGGCGACGCCGGCCATAGCTCCGACGGCGACGGGGCAGGCCGAGAAAGCGCCACAGCAGACGGAGTGTAAGTACAGTTGGAAGGCCCCCATAGAATATGTGGCTGGGCTTTCCGTTTTCATTCATTGCTGGACGGTGGGCTGGGTTGCTGGACTGTAGTCTGCAGATAAGGCCCACTACACTAAGATGCGCTTGCTCTTCATCCCAACTGTCATCCACATTATTGACTGTTCTCAAAGAAAAAAAAACCATTATTGACCCTAGCTTAGTTCCTGGCACCATCTAAAAAAACTGAGTTCCTGGCATTTTCTTACTGGTTGGGTACAACACATGACAAATTCAAGCACTTGCTTTTCGTTTTGAAAATGAAATAGAAAAAAAACAAGAAAAAGACCAGCCGATCGATCCCATGGCAACTACTACAAGAAAAAGACTCCAAATGAAACCTTATGTGCAACCAGAAAAGGTCATCTTCTTTCTGGTTTGGTAACAACTTGATATACTCATCACTACCGTTTAAGCAATTAGTGATTGAACTGAATAGTTGGGGAAAGTAATACCATGAGGCATATATAGCCATATAGGCAATAAAAATAGATGAAATTCATGTTATGTATAGTATAATGTAGCAGGTAAAGTGATAGTAAAGTTGGGACATACATACCTCTCACGTATCCTTTTTCTTCGTGTGTTGTCATAACTTGTTGCCTCTCAACTCTCAAGACGTCGTATCAACCTCCACATTGGCTGCTTTAGAGGAAATTAAACCTTCCTTCGTCAAAGAGGCAAGCAGTATTGTCACGCCTAATTTCATTTATAGTATATCTCTTTCTACTCTTTTAACTCTAGAACTATACTAGTCCCTCTATTCTAAATTAGAAGGCGTTTTGAATTTTTAGATATATTTTTGTTTGCTATGTACTTGGATATATACACTATGCTTATGTTTATATATTAGTAAAAAACGTATCTAAAAAAGGCAATGCAAAAAGTCTTCTAGGTTATAATGGAGGGAGTATGTACACTTCTCATAAGTTGCCTTCTTTTTCTCGTGCACTTCTCCACAACTTGCCTTTTAGTCTTGGCAGTGCTCGCTCTCATTATAATGGAATATTTAATTTGTCACTACTGCTTGCTATTAATGGAGTGTGGAGTCTGGAAATTTTTCCAGTTACATAAAAGGGTGAAGAAAATGAGGTGCCAGTGTTGCTTGACCTATCTTACCACACAACAAATTATGATTCGAGTATGTGCATCATTTTCATAGATAGGACACCATAATTATATGGTGAAAGTCTTTGTCAATCACATCTATTATAATATTAAATATTATCCATGGTCACATTTCTTGATCTAGACATTTTCCTATGAAGAACAAAAATGCAACAAAAGAAATTTTATATGCCTAACTATGCTGTCCACAATGAACTAACCTTGTGCACAACTAAAAACCATTCCCGCCTTAGCCTACGGTTCGACAACTACTATATATACACACCGTTACCACTTAAACAAAATTAGAGATTTAATAGTAGTCCAGCAAATGCTAGTAGCATGAGCTTAGACAATAAAATAAAATGAATTTTATGTTATATAAACGTGTCCGTCAATAGCGTGATATATGTAATGACTTCATCAATCTTGAGATTTACCGGTCCAAACTCAATCCTATGAAGGTGCTCATAGGGCTATAGGGTACTTAACACATACATCTCACAATGCTGTGTTTTTTCGAATGTTATCTTATTGTTACCTCTCATGATGACATATCCACCTCTTCATGAGATGCTAGGAAATTATACTTCCTTCATTATTAGAATGGAGTATTTTTTTCTTATAAGTTAAATTAAAAAAGGTTGTATTAGATGTAACATTTTTTGCTTCTAAGTTATATTGTGTATCTTATGAACTGAGTGTACCTCCCTCATTTGATTTCTTTTGGTGGAAGTGGAACCAACCAACCCAAATTCAAGTACTCGACTTGAAGTGAGTGCTCGTATTTTTTGGATTCATTCCCTGAGTTAATAACATATTTCAGTGGTATGCGTCATGCCCATCGATAATGAAGTGCATATGGTGACTTAATCTCGTGATCTATTAGCTCAATCTTTCATAGGTGATCATAGGCATAAGGTGTGCATGCATGCGTCCATAGGTGAGTGTGCACGTGAGCGATTGTGTTTGTATTGTGATTCATGTATATATCTCTTATAATTCTATTATTATATTAGGTCACCCGGTAAAACTCCATATGAGGTAGAAGCATGCCAAGATACATGTAGCCCTCCTCACTAGTTACCCTCTAATCAATTTTCGACAACCTACCTCCTCTCTAGTAGCATCGGCAATGCTCCTCTTATTATTGACTTGAACTTTTTAGCTTGTCATTGCATGTTGTCTTATCCGTTAACCATAGCATGAAGCAAACTCATAGCTAGATGCGGTTGGATGCAACACTAATACATTCTATAGCACCCTAAAAGTGAATGTAAACATCCACCACGAAAAAGTGTAGATGTAAATTTATAGCACCCCTAAATGCAAACATCCACCAAAAAAAAAAATCGACGTGAGATCTATACTGCGTCTCGTGTAGTATGGTGCATGATCCATACTTTCTTTATCATAATTTTTTATATACCTATGGAGAACTTTTTTCTACAAGTTAGCATGATAGCGCCATAGTCCGCGGTGCCACTAAACCTTCTATGTATCATGCATATACCATACGAATTAAATGAAAATAAATTATAGATCTACAACTTTATATGAAAATTATAGATCTCGACGAGATCTACGACTTTTTAGTTTTGAGTTTTTTCATTTGAAGTCGTTAAGATGCTCAAAAAAATTTAATAACATATTTGAATTTAAGGGCATTTTCGTCTTTTCACACCTGCAGTTTGACGGCGTTAGAGCCTGAACTGACGGAAGTGTGGAGGACCTGAAAAAGTTAGAGTAATGGTGTTGAAGACCGCTGAATTTTTTCAGAGACACCTAGAGAATTTCGATCTTTTATAATGGCACATAGAGAAAAGTCTCTTTCTCTCTCTTTCACGTGTGTCGTCAATCTCAAATCGCTTTGACTTCTTCCTCCAAGGAACAGGAAACAGGGGTGAGAAAGGGGGACGAGTCGACGCGAATTGCAGTTGCAATCAGCCAATCAACCAAGGCTGCTTTCCTCGTTCAAACCCACGACGACGCAAGCTCGATCCGTGACAAACAACAAACCGCATTAGAAACCAAGCAAGAATGCGCAAACGGCAAACCCATCACATCATCCATCGCGCCATAAGCCAGTGAAGTGAGGCCGCCGAATTTGGATCGATCGAATCGAAGAAAAAAAAAGAAAGGAAAAAAAAAGCGAAAAGGAAATCGTGCCTTGAAGCCTCCTCTTCGTCTTCTTCTTCCTCCGGCGGCGGCGAGATTGAGCCGAGGAGCGCGCGTGCTGCCGAGCCCCGAAAAGCAGCAGCAGCAGCAGCAGCAGCGAGCCGCGCGCGGCGCAGCCGCGCAGGCGTCTCGTCAGCGTCATCTCTATCCTCGCGGCGCAGGCCAGGGGAGCTAGCGAGGAAGTGGAGGCAAGGAGGAAAGCGAAGCAACGGACGCCCGCCGAAAGGAAACTGACCTTTTTCTCCCTCTTTCTCCTCACATTAAAATCCCCCCCGCTCGCCCCCCCCGTGCTCCCAAATCCCGAGCTCTCCCCCTCTTCCCTGCCTTGCCCTACCTCGCCGGCGGCGGCGCGCAGATCGCTGCCCCTCGCCTGTACCGATCGCCCCCGCCCACCTTCCCGTCCGTTCCTGCCCGGGCGACGGCGGCGATTCCTGCGTCGCCGCCTCCTCCTCCAGCGGCTGCTTCGGCTGCAGCGGCGGTTCTTGCGTCGCCTCCCTCCTCCAGCGGCTGCTTGGCGGCGCCTCCTCCAGCTCCGGGGAAGAAGCAAGCGGCTAGCGGCTCTCTCTCCCGGGGGTGGCCATGGTGGACATCAGCGAGTGCTCGCCGGTGCCCGAGTCCGTGCCGGCGCACCCGGACCCCGCGTCCGTCTCCCCGGACGCGTGGCGGCGCTTCGAGACCGCCGCGCTCGCCGTGGTCAACAAGATCCAGCCCACCGCCGCCTCCGAACAACTCCGCGCCGCCGTCATCGAGTACGTCCAGCGCCTCTTCTGGTTCCAAGCCCGGTATCAGGTATTCATCATTCCGGTAACCTTCCCTGCTACAATCATTTGCGGTCTCAGTGTTCTGTAGCTTAAAGGCTCGTCGATTCTTCAATAGCATGGGCGAGTGAAACACCTAGGTTTTCGTTATCAGTATCTGTTGTGCTATGAGACATCACATTCTTCAGATTATGCAAATGGTTGTTTAGGTGCTTTAGGAGGAAAACATAGAGTTTTAGTGCCATTTTTTTGTATTTTAGGAATTTAGGTAATCGAATTGAAGCTAAAGATACACATTATAGGTTCCTTCATACTGCTTAGTGCTGAGTTGCTAGTTACCATGCTTGTGATTTCACTTAGCTGTGCTCTAGTTGCTGTTTCTGGCATGTGATTTTCCTAACCCTAGTGATTGCCGCGCGAAACCGGTATATGCAAACCCTTGCCGTTTTTTGCTGGGTACTTGAGGTGTCAAGTGTTTATTGGTGAATGAGTACAGAGTCGTACTGATTTGCTTTGTCGGTTGCGCGCTTGAGCCTCCACGTGGTTCGGCGGGGTGGACCTTTAATGGGACCGTGAATTGGCTGTCGGAGCTCGGCATGTTATCACATTAAACACAGTGAAACTGATGATTGTGATTGGAGGGCTGGATATACCTTGTATCTTACTGTCTTCTTTTTCTGTGACGTGGCACTCCATAGGTTACTCATGTTACCCGAGAAGGAACAGCTGCATGTCTGCTATGCCCCAGTCAAGTCAGAACATCTTGAGTTCAGCTGGAATGGTCTGTTAGGATGTAATTGTAGGATTGAATCATAGAATCTAAGATCTTGCCTGATTTAATCTGAGATACACATGCAGTATTTAAAATATACCATGTCATTCATTTAGGCTTTGTTTGGATGAGCATGTATTCATCTCGATCCACATGTGTTGAAGTGGATTGGAGTGGAATTAAACTAAGTTCCATTCCAATCCACTTCAACACATGTGGATTGAAGTTGATACACATGCATCCAAACAAGGCCTTAATAAAAAATTTCTTTCATTGTACATTAGATTAGAAGCATGTAAAATAATAGTCCAGATTAATTGTCTCTCCTTGCCTATGCAAATAATTAAATATATGAGTGAGTAAAAGGTGGACCTTTATTCATAATTGCGTACTAGGATTGGTCGAATCAGGTAGGATCGTATTTAAACTGCTATTATGATTTTACCAAACTTGTGCTAGAATCATGGAATGTGAATATTGGACGAAAAAGATCCTATCTTAGGAGCGAACCAGTCAATAAATCTAGGATCTTATCATGTGATACTTTAATACTTGATGTTTTCTGGCTGGCTGTGTTATGGAGGTTGTTTTCTTATTGCTGTTTATACAAGTGGACACATGAGACCTAGCAAACGTTTGTTAAAACTTGAGATTGGATACAAGACACAGAGGGTTAAGTTGAACTATGTATGAAATCAGTAAATCAGTTAGGCGCATTACGTGTTTGCTTCTACCAGATGTTCACATGTATAACATCTGACTACTACTAGTGGCACTTTGTACACATGCACATGAGTGAAATATCATTGTTCTACCAAATTTTGTGCTGCTCTGATGCTTTCTTGCTGCTATTGTAATGCCATGTGAGACAGAAAGACCTACAGTCTAACCTCCTGTGTTTGTGAAAAATAGGTCTTTCCATTTGGATCTGTTCCATTGAAAACATATCTTCCTGATGGAGATATCGACTTGACATTATTCGGCCCTGCGATTTCTGATGAGAATCTAGCAAATGAAGTATGTGCTATTCTAAAATTGGAAGAGCGAAGGAAAGATTCTGAATTTGAAGTCAAGGATGTCCATTATGTCCCTGCTGAGGTATTTCACTCTGCCATATCAATCTTTTTTTTATAGGTACCATATTGCTCTTTGTTTCGAATATATTTAACTTGAGGTCAACCATCACTATACCATCTTTTTAGAGTTTTCACTTATTGGAGGTGGTTGTTTTGTATGCATTCCACTTGTTTAATGAACTTACTTTTATAATTCCTGCATTCTACTTATAAGTGCTTATTTGTGCACATTATGTAAAATTGGAGAAATACCATTTTTATTGTACTTAAATGCAACTCTTCTCCATCTTGCATATTACATCTTTGGAGCATATGGAATTATGAATATGCCAATATTTCATCAGGTACTGGGCTGACTATAAAAAGGAAAAAAGTAGCTACCAATACTCATAACATTTTCAATCGCTGTTTTTGAGGGTTCTTGCACTCTTGCTATGCACAGTAGTGTGGCATAGATTATTGGAGAAATCCATCTTGTTTTGTATGTGTTGGCTAGGGACAAATTTTGGGCACATGCGAGCTTCTTGTTTCACATATTGTTGTCTGATCATAAATCTCCCTGGTGGCAGGTCAAGCTGGTTAAATGTTTGGTACAAAACATTGTCGTAGACATCTCAGTTAATCAGATTGGTGGGCTGTGCACACTATGTTTTCTTGAGAAGGTAATATTTCAAATGTTGCCATAAAGATGGAGTTGTGTAGTTTTTTTTGTCCATAAAACTCAGATTTGATACTCTTAATAAGATGAAAAAAATGTTCCCTTGCCTTCCTACTATACGTAGGATCTAAGAGGATTAGTTCCACTTTGTGGTTCCTTATGTCATACTGCATAGTGATAAAAATATTGATAATAAATATTTTTTCTGTAGGTCGATCAAAACTTTGGAAAGAATCACCTGTTTAAGAGAAGCATAATGCTTGTCAAAGACTGGTGCTATTACGAAAGCCGTATTCTTGGTGCCCATCATGGTCTAATATCCACATATGCTTTGGAGACTTTAGTTTTATACATTTTCCATATCTTCCACAAGTCTTTGGATGGTCCATTGGCTGTAAGTTATGTCTTAAATTTTTCTGCTGCTTTTTTTGCCATGTTATATTGACATTCTTCATGATACATACCTTCCTATGAGTGTGATGACTATATGCCCTTCTGCAGGTCCTCTATAGATTTCTTGACTATTATAGTAAATTTGATTGGGACAATAAGGGGATCAGCTTGTTTGGACCTGTTTCCTTATCTTCACTACCTGAGCTAGTTAGTAAGTGAATGCACTCTTAAGTGTGCAGAATGTTGTCTATTTTCGATTGCAATTATTGGTCATTGACATGCTTTTGTTGAACAGCTGACCCACCAGATACCCAAGATGATGATTTTCTTCAACGAGAGGAGTTTCTAAAAGAATGCACAGAGTCTTTTAGTGTTCTCCCTAGAAACTCTGAGACAAATCCTAGAGTATTCTCACGAAGATTTCTAAATATAGTTGATCCACTAAAGCAGAGTAATAACCTTGGACGCAGTGTCAGTAAAGGTTTGTTCCTGCCTCTGGATCATCAATTATGATAATAGAAATGAATAATGTATTCCTGAATTTTCTCTTGTCACTTAAATCTGTCAATAAAATTCTCAACTTGATGTTCCAACCTTAAACCTTTGTATGAGCCCATTTGCATAAGGACTTACAGTGCCAGTCAGAGAAAAAAAATCCTGCTTCACTTGTTTTTGTCAAGTTTGAATATTTATTCCACAGACTGCTCAGCTAAACTTTTGAACTGTCTGTGCAAAATTTACAAAATGTTTCATTTCATGATTTGTGGTTTTATGACCTCGTCTCATTGAATCCTTTTGCCTACATCATCACACTATCTTTTCACCTAATGCGTGATTGAAGTGGATTGCCCTCATCCATTGTTGTACTGCTTCGTAAGTGCTTATTCAAATATGCTGCTTCCATATCTACCCTGTCCAAAACTCCAAATCTATAATTCTTGCTATCTAATGTTGTATTGACTGCGTTTCTTCTACATTGCTGATGCACACCCAAGAGTTATCATTTCAGTTTTGCATAGAAGAAACTGTTGCCATTTAAGAATATAGTATGTCACACTCACTTACCAGCCACCCATTGTACTGCGCCTAAGCAGTAAGCACAATCTGCAACACCTTTTCACCATTTTGCACTACATTAATATCACATGCTGCTGCCATTTCTCCGTCAGAACATGAGTACTTATCTCATTATGTTTTGAGTTTGTGAGTATTTATGCTTTTCATTTGATTTACAGGAATAGCTTTCTTGTGGTACACAGCTGAAGTGCTTCATTCTGATATTTCTTTTTCTAAAAGAATTTTATCTTTATTGCATTGCTCCATGCGCAGGAAACTTTTACCGGATCATGGCGCATTTGATTTTTGGTGCTCGTAAGCTTGGCAAGATTCTTCAAGTGCCTTCTTGTCCTGTCAGTGAAGTCAATCAGTTTTTCAGGAACACTCTAAAGAGAAACCGTACTGGTTTAAGGCCAGATGTTTGGGTGAGCTCTTCTGATCTTGTTACAAATGATCCTGTTTCATCAGTCTTAGATGCGGAAAGAGTCAACAAGGTTACGCCCAACAATTCCTGCGATGTTCTGTCTAATCAGCTCAGTAACATCAACATTTCAGATTCCAACAATCATGGCCCAGTAAAGCAAAAAGAATGTAACTCTATGGCTGACCACAAGGAGATAAAATCTGTTTCTTGGGGTTTGCTAGATAGTGATGCCACGAGTCACACAGCTACTGATTCAGGTGGTGACTTCTCTGAAGCTTCACCAACACCTAGTGAAACCTGTACCTTGCAATCAGAAACCGGGCAAGAAGGTTGATGTTAGAAATGACACAATCCCATCATACCATGGGGTTTCAGCAAAGCAGTTTACAGGCAGATCTCACCACTGTATTGACGATGCTAAGCATAATGCTTACTCCTATTCTACTGGCTTAATTGATGGTCTGGGCACATCTAATTCAGTTTTAACATCAGATACACAACCTGGAGGTACCACCAATGACACAGTGCCAAATCTCACTGGAGATTTCGATACAAATTTGCATAATCTTCTGTATGCACGGGGTTTCCATCAGGACAGTCCTACGACTCAGTTATACTATCCAATGCCTATGCCACCTCCCCTGCAATATCAGAACATGCACCCATCAAATGGCCATGGCAGAAAAAATCTGTATGGATATGCTAGTAGGAATGGAGTCGTCCCTGGTCCTGTTTATCCGCCTGGCTATTTTGTGTATAGGCCATTGTATCAAGCAGATGATCATATGGCTATGAGGGCTCGTGGAACAGGCACCTACTTTCCTGACCCAGTACGTTCCCTCCTTGAGCATTCATCTTATGTTCTTAAAACTTAAAGGAACATCTGGTACTTGTTCATATGTTCGTTATCTTCATTCCTCGTGCTGTACGTGTGAACAGACATGCTAGTTTTCTTGTAATTCAGTTTTCATCTATTCTTTTGTATGCAATGATTTGTCCATTACGCTTCTGTTTTTTACTTCAGAAGTGTTACTTTTCCTAGGTTTGTCCTCAAATTTTTATAGCTTGGACAGTTTTGTCTTGTATTCATGCTAATTTTGTCTGCCTCATGGGACACTTCAGAATTTGCGCAAGGAAAGGCCACCTACTGGACGTGGGGAGAGAGGAAGGAATCATTCCCATCAGAATAATTATCAAAAGTTTCACCACCATGCCCGACCGGATATACCTGTAGATATGATACCTTTTGACGAATTGAGGCATGAGCCACCACTGCAGATATATGCTCCTAGTGCAAATGATCATGGAATCCCATCTCCAATGAATATACCAATACCATCACCATCTTCCCAGTCTCCAAGGGATCCTTTGAATGTACCAATGCATTCGCCATCTTCCCAGGTTCGAAAGGATAATTTTCATGGCAATGGTTTTATGCTCTCGCAAGACAGTAAACTTGAGTTTGGGACCTTGGGGGCGTTGCCAAGGGAAGTTGCCTCCAAAGAGCATGCTAGCAGATCAGGTTCTGCCTCCAACAATCAAGGTTCTGGGCCTGTGACTGTGAGCCCCATGTCTATGGCGAAAAACACTGGAATGGGTTCCAACGGAATGAGGTAAGTGTGTTGCGATATTTTAGTTGCCAATACCAACAATTACTATCTGATGGGAAGAACATGCAATTTGTATGCTAGTCTATTGTTTGGTGTGAGTGAGTGTTGTACGGGTTCCAACTCCTTTTTCTTCTTAATATAATGATAATCAGCTCTCCTTATGTATTCAAGGGAGAAACATGCAATTAGTGGACATTTCCATGCTACAAACAATGAGATAAATTTGGCTCTTTGTTAGGTTGGTGTTTTTGTAAAATTATCTAGATGCTCTTATTGTTCACTTTTGGGCAATTGATATATGAAGTAAATTATACTGTAGCCCCTAAGCTTTCAATTATGTGTTGATTAGGTTTTTTTAATTGGTAGTTGCAAATAATGTGAGATAATTTAAATTGCCATTGGCTACATGATTATCATGTAAGGTCAACAAATATTAGATATCGTTGGATTTGCAAGAGGTTTTTTCAGATGTGTTTGGACAGATTTTTACTTGCTTATTTAGACCATGTTTGGGGTATATATGTGAAGTTCTCAAATCCATGGATGTTGTGCTAGATGGAATTAAGATATGCTTTTGGCTAACTCTAACCATGTCTGTTTCCTCTGTTGAAAGTTCAGCTTGAAACTGCGCTCCTTTTGAGTTTCACCTTGAAGATTTTCCACTCAATTTCCAGAGTTTACAATGGCTGAACACATATATCATACGATCTGCAGGAATGTTCAAGTTCAACCATACCGTCTCAAGGACAGTGGTGACTTCCCGCCACTATCCAGTTGATGTCGATGCTGTGTGTATGAGAGGCAACAGGATAATGATGAATGGTGTGCTCCCAACGCAGGAATGGGACAGCAGCATGTCAGGGCGCCGGAGTTCTTTGGCAAACGCATAACCCACGCTGTATGTCTGTTTTTTCTTCCTTTTTCTGAGTTGCCAAGAACTGTCACTGCAACGCAGCCTGTGCTTTCTGTAACTGAGCTTTTTTGCGACAAAAGAGAAGGAAAAAAGAAAAAGAAAAAGAAAAGAAAAAAGAGAGAAGGAGAACAAGAAACGGAAGGGAAAAAAGGAAAGCAAAAGGGCTCTGAAACTGGATGACATGTAGATACTTTTAGGGGCACAGCCCCCTTGTGGCCTTGTTTCAGTTTTACAGATTATGGCGTCCCTCGAAGGGGAACAGATATGCTAGGGAAAGTAATAGAGCTAGCTAGCTAGTTTTGTTGTTTTGACCTCAGGATCATTGCTCATTGGAGAACTGGATTTTGTCCATGTCCACGTGTAATGAGGATAGAGCTGTAGCCCCTGTTTGCATGTAGAGGGATGGAGGTCAGCTGGAACAGTATTTTTCTCTCACAACAAATCAGTCGGAACAGTGTTTTGGCTTGTTTTTTCAGCGAAGCGAACGGGGCCTTTGTGTTGAAAGGCCCCAATGTTTGAAGTTACTTTAGCTGCTTGAAAATGGATTAGGTGATACAGAATGTGTTAAACTTACTAGTCTTAAAAGAAGATTTAGTCTTTGCCAACCGAAAATGCCTTTGTTGTGTGTTCCTGTATATGCATAATCTGTCAAATTTGTAACCTAGCATTATGCTGTCTTGAAGCTCAATGTCTCATTTTTTCAGGTAAAAAGAAAAAAAACCTGCACTGTCCAGTAAAAAATATATATTCAAACATCGTAAACCTTCTCTATCATGTCACTAAAATGAAATATGAAACTTGGTGATATTCTTTGTTAACCATATTTGCCAAAAGAAAGTGTACTTGTGAATCACTACCAGAAACAAGCCTTTTGCCGAGTGTCTTGGTGTTTGCCGAGTGTATTTCCTCGGGCACTTTTGTCGAGTGCTGCGAAAAAAACACTCGGAAAAATAAATACACTCGGCAAACGATGTAAAAAACACTCGGCAAAGTTCGACACTCGGCAAACTAGAAAGAAAACACCCGGCAAAGAAAGGCACTCGGCAAAGAAATATGTCTCCCGAGTGTAATTGTCTGGCACTCGGCAAAATAATTTTATTTTATTTTTTCTCTTTTGACCTTGAAACCTTTTCTACTATCAACATATAGCATGTGGTATTCCATGTTAAAATTTGATATATTTGTGGATCTTTTTGCTATATTTAATTAATTTATTGTATTTCTAGGAATTTTTTCGTATAAGTCAAATTTGAACCGTAAGTGATTCAAATAATAAAATAAAATGAGTAGGAAAATGATATTCATGTTATTGAGTCTAGTGTGAGGCGTCACCCGAGAAATGAAAAGAAATTTCGAACATCTTGTTCAGGACGCACGACCACGAACGTTGTGGCCAAATGGTTTTTAAATTCTAAAAAAAGGAAATGAAGTTTGAAAATTATGAGATTTGTCATGATGTGATGATATCATACGTGGAGGCTGTGGTAAAAAATTAAGAAGGTTTCACATAATTTGTCACGTACGATGTTTATAAACCGAAGCATCACAGAAGAAGAATCATAGCGTTGAGAAGGAATCGGTAAGATTTGAAGTTCAAGTGACGGTCGAATTGGGGTTTGACTTTAAAACTTTTTGTATATGCAATAGAGAACATAAATTGTTTCATGTGAAAATTTGTAATTTTTTGAACCCGTTTGATAATTTTAATTTATTAAGTGCAATTATAGAAAACAAAGGATTTGCCGAGTGTTTTCTTTTTTGCACTCGGCAAAAAAAAATTCCTGAAAAAAGAGAAGAAAAAAAATGGGAAAAAAAACTTTGCCGGGTGCTCCCGATCTAGAACACTCGTAAAACAAAAATATCTACATAACCCCAGCGCCCCCTCCCCTTCTTCCTCCGCACCCGAACCCCAGCGCCCCCTCCCTTCTTCCGGTCTTCCCCGGCACCCGGCCCCCAGCGCCCCTCCCCTCCTTGCCGCTGCCCGTCCCCTTCTTCTCCCCTTCTTCCCTGGCGCCGCCCCTTCCCGGCCTTCTTCTTCCCCGGCGCTGCCCCTCCCCAGCCTTCTTCTCCGGCACCGCCCCTCCCTCTCCTGGATCCGGCCAATGGAGGCCGGATATGGGCTCTGGTGGTGGCGGGTGGCGTGCGGCGTGGTGGTGGGCTTTGTGGTGCTGGCGTGGTGGTGGTGGTCCCCGGCGCCGCCCCTCCCCGGCCTTCTTCCCCGGCGCCACCCCTCCCTCTCTCGGATCCGGCCCTCCCTCTCCCGGATCCGGCCGGCGGAGGCCGGTGGCGGCCGGATCTGGGCTCTGGTGGTGGCGGGCGGCGTGGCAGCGGGCTTCGTTGTGCTGGCGTGGTGGTGGTGGTCCCCGGCGCCGCCCCTCCTCGGCCTTCGTCCCCGGCGCCGTCCCTCCCTCTCCCGGATCCGGAGCTGTTGGAGCTACTACCACCATGGGTATGTATTCACTACTGGAGCTGCTTCCTCCACTGCTCCTGTTTTATTAACAGTAAGATGACCTCTTGGTTGCATGGTTGGGTTGTTCTAGCTGGTTTAGTAGTAGTAGCACATCTGATTTGTTGTATGAAGAAACTGCACTGCCATTTTGATTCATAAAAATCACAAGTAGAACTATACTAACATAATTCACGATTAGTAGTGCATCAAATATTTCTTGAACATATATAAGCAATGAGCTGTCAGTTTGATCCAAATGGGAGCTCTTCATTGTCTTTTATCGGTAACTTGACATCTTTGAAAATCACAAGTAGAACTATACTAACATAATTTACTGTAATGTAAGAAATATATATGGATGGACCACTCAAATAATGTCATTATATTTGAATTTGAGGGAGCAATGTAATAAGAAGATTTTACTGCAAAGTTAAAATACAATTTTAACTTGTTTGTTTTGTTACCCTAGTTGCTTTTAGGGTTAGATGATGTTATACATATAACTTCAAAGCTACATTTTAACCTTGCACATAACCTGGTATTTGGTGCATTGGATGTCAGGTGAGATGCTATCTTGAATATCTTGCATATATCAACCTGATCAATCATTTTGATATGTGATATTTGCGGAGCTGAAATGATATGGAACCCCAGTCTCGTGCCTCGCTGCTCTCCCCTTCCCTAACTATGCCTTGTGACTTTTTTGTTTTGTACTACTCTTAAGTGGCTGTGATGAATTAAGTTTCCATTAGAGAACTTTTGCACTTTAGCATCTTATGAGCTGGTACTTGGGATATTTTATTACATTTTGTCGCTTAACTAGGATGGCACGCAAAGATATAAGCAACTAGTTACGTGGCGGTTCAATTCCCATTAGAGAAAGAGAATTAAATTAAGCTCAGGTGAAATTAAGTTACAATTCTCATCTTTGATAATGGGTAAAATCGAGCCATTTCTCGAGTTCTTTGCTCTTGTTCTTTTGCTCCGGGTAAAATATATGTAGTTCTTGTGCTTTTGACATATTTGCTCTCTAATGGATCCTGGAATGACCAATAGTTTCTTTTCTATTAGCTCAGTTCAATAGAGCTCGTGATTTTTGCATTGCTATTTCTAGAAGAACATGATTTTTTTGCATGCAAATCATATATTTGTTGCCTTAGACTGTGAAACTTAGGTAATACTTTCAAATGTGAAATTTCTGAAGATGGTCACTGTTTTTTGTGGTATTTCTTCTGTGAAACTTAGGTAATACTTTCAAATGTAAAATTTCGGAGATGGTCTTTGCTGTGTGGCATTTCTTCCGTGAAATTTTGGTAATTATATACTTTTAAATGTAAAATTTACGGAGATGGTCCTTTTGCCTTTGTCATTTCTTTTGCACTTGTAGATTTGTAAGTTCTTCCTGTCTCTTGCAGTTGTACTGCTTTGTGAAGGCTAGAACTAATTATGGGCAGCATTTGTATTATGAAAACTTGAGTATGTGTAAGAACTAAGAAGCTTGTATGCTATGGCCACTGCTTTCGGTCTGTTTGCTTGCTGCCTCCCAGGCAGAGAGCCGGCCTGTCATTAGTCTCTTAAATTTGTCATCTTCATTTCTATGTCCATATGATTATTATGAGAATTATATTGTCAGGAGCATGATCTGCATGCAGATATGGTGTACTAAGAGTGTTTTGTATGGCAACTATTAAACTGAAATATGCTGAGAATTTTTTTTTCTTTGAAAAATAGGTTTGCCGAGTGTAATTCCCAAAAGCACTCGACAAACAATAATGGTATGCTGAGAAAAAAATTATCATTTTTTCCTTTGAAAAATAGGTTTGCCGAGTGTAATTCCCAAAAACACTTGGCAAACAATAATCCTTTGTCGAGTGTATTTTGGAAAAACACTCGGCAAACCACTTTTTTTGCCGAGTGTCAAATTTGACACTCGGCGAACCATTTGTCGAGTGCGCGATAAAAAACACTCGGCAAATAGCTGTTTGTCGACACTGTAGATGCCGTGTGCTGTTTGCCGAGTGTTTTTTAGTCTTTACCGAGTGCCTGGCACTCGGCAAAGTCACTGTTTCCGGTAGTGAATCAGGGTCTGACTCGATGGATGCACCTGCAATATTAAATTTGAACTGGGATAAATAGGCTGATGAACTCTGAATTATTTCTAAAAGTACTTCAAATTTGAACTGGGATAAATAAGCTGATGAATTCTGAATTATTTCTAGGAGTACTTTAGGTCGTACTGCAACCCTGATCAGGAGCAACCAAGTCTGTGTACAGTGAAGGCCTGATTCCCTTTCAAAAACAATTTGCTTGGGCCAACCTGCTCTGCTAATATTCTCATTTTGTGCCTCTTTCATTTCAGGATGGGCTCATCGATAGACTCACCAAACATGCATCATGTAATGGCTTAGTCAAAGTT